AAATTACACGAGGAAAGAGCTTGGAACAAAAAAGGACTTGTAAGGAAACTGACTTGGGCGAGTGGCCACCAAACTCTTAAAAAAGGAAAAATTGTTAGGTCTATTCTTAAAGTGTTTATATTACTGTAGTTAATTTTTATCCAATGAAGAAATTACAACACTGTCTAAGGGTCTTTTGTTCTATCCAATAGCTGAGGCTTCACTATTCAACCTAAATCCATGGGCAAGTCCAACTTTTCCACTCACCAGTATTGAGCCACACCTGACTTAGCAAGGTGAATACACAATCATACAATGTTCAGAGCATCAAAGAATATCAAAATCTCATCATGGTGCAAAACACCTGTCAGCTGGATTGATATCGCACGGAGATGACGATTGTTGGCGTCAAGGTATGCACTTTCTCTATCCTGATGATCTTACAACGCGTCAAGCGATGAGGAGGCGTAAATGCCAAACAGTTGTCATAGCATTTCTGGCACAGGTGCTTGCACTACAGTTAGCTCTATGTTTACTTGGCAGTTTTCATAATCATTCTGGAGGAAATTATCCAAACATATACAAGTCCGAATATAATTGGGAAAGCTATCCTTAGACTATTTGGCTATTGTCACTCTTCAATTATATGGCATCACAACAAAACTGGTTTATTTGGATGTATAATGAAGAAATAGACGCTGTATCTTATTGAATGATACAAATTATAGGTTTTAATTCCACTGCTCACTATTAATTTCCACACATGATTATTCTACCTTCTGTTACAGGTGTTCATCTATATCTCTCGATCAAAATCACCACACAATCTACAGAGTTTACAATTAACACGTTGTGAAATCTAACCGTTACGTGCGATAGGTTGAGAAATAAAATTAATAGCTCGCACAAAACGCATAAAATCTAAACTGGTTCGCATTCTGACCAGTTTAGATAAGTATCGCGGTATTCGTAGCGATATTTTCGGGTGTGAATGGTGCCTGCATCGCCCGGAGCTTTCGTCATGCGATCATAGTAATTTATACTCGGACCGTGATTGCATTGAAACTATAGCGTCATAAAAATGATAATCGCCCGAACCTAAGTGGCGTAACTAATTTTAGACTGTTTCAACGCCCAAACTAGGCGCCCAGCCTACATTCTCTAGTCGTATCTCATCGATAATATTACGTGGAAATGTAGGAACTAGGTTAACTTTTGCAGGTGTGACCAAAAGTGGGAAATTACATGGTCGGTGGGTTGTAAATAAAATCGGAAACTCATGTACTAATGTTGTGGAAGTATAGTATGTGTGAATTTGGTGTTTTCCGGATGCGATTTCAGACTATGAAATTAAGCTTTGTGAAAAAAGTATTGTTATATTTTGACTATTGACGATGTAAGGTGCAGCTGGTTTAATTATTAGGAAGTTAAACTTCTAGCCTTAAGAACCACATTCGAATCCTACTAATTCCCTATGCTTTTTGGCCAAGTTATAAAGCTGCAAGCCGGTGATTCGGAGCTCACGTTATGCTGTAGGTCCAATTTGTATGAAACAAAGATAGGTTTCCGACCAATAGAAAGGATAGTATGTAACTGTCTCTGTTTTAGAGCACCATTATATTAAAACCCTTACGGTAGTTTTACGATGATCAAGTTAACTTTGGTTAACTTTACGATACTTTTGTAATTGGTACTTTGGAGGTTGTATGAACAAAAGAAATTTACACTTACTAAGCCACTAATCAATTCCAGAAGTGTAACATGCGATTCGAGCCTTGCAATACGTTAACTGTTAAACACATAAAAAAATCCTAACCTTTACAAAGGTGCATCATTACATATGTTCCTAGTACATATCCATAATTTTCCCTAGAACAAAACTGTAACCAAGAAAACCCACGAAAGTTAACTATCTCCTGCCAATTATATTTTAAATAATCGTTATTATACTACACGTACACGCCTTTCTTTACCCACATAGCTCAATTGGCCACATCCATATGCAAGAGACCCCAAGTTTCTACTTCCTACAGATGACGTAATCTTACCATTAGTTTGTCATTTGTATAATAATACGATTTTACCGAACGGCAAAATTGGATTGATGTGAAAGTCAAATTTTACTGACGGCCGCCGGCGCCTAATTTGTTAAAGCTCATTTATTCAATTAAGTTTTCAAAGTTTTCCTAGAAGGGTTAAATTATACGAATTACAGAATTTGAAATTCCAACTGCTTCAGTAGGCGGTGATAGCGAGTTTCATTATTTTCATGGAGACATTTCGACAATCACTTCATTTGTGGTGTCACCGTTGCATGCTGTATAATTCATATATTTTTTTCTGCATTCACTTGAATGGCTGTGTATAAAGTAATTACCTTTTATAGAGAAATTTTGACAAAAAACAATATTTGTTCATTAGTTTTCACCTACAGTTACAGTATAATTTACAATTTTACGGATAATTTTTCAGTACTGTAGGCCTATGTATAGCGGAGTATATGGCAAGAATTTTCTATACGTGTCAATAATCACTAATTCATGTTTTATTTCTCTGTCGTATTCATTTGCAGTAAAATTTCAGTAATGCTTATGAGTTTATAAGTATTTCCTTCAATAATCACTACACTTAGTGAAGATGTTAGTGCTTATTACTATGAAGAATAATGACCAATACAAAATTATGTAAATCTATATCATAAAAATCTGAGGAAATTTGTTTTGAAAGATATTTGGGTAAACAAAATTAAATTTGTTTACTTTGTTTTTAAGAAGTAGAAGTCATTTTGTAATCACAATGTTTATCAATATTCGAAACCACGTGATTATTTAGGGATTCTGTTGTATTTGAAGCATTGTTATCTCCAGGCCTAGGAGCATATTGCAATTTCTTGGTTGTAGTAATGCATACTAGTCTACATTTATTTGTATCCCTAAATTTGGAAAACAACTATTCTATCCTTCTCTGTAGCATTATTAGAATAAATACTGTAATATTCATTAAATCCTAAAAGTTTTTATGATATATTAAAACGTTCTTCGCCTTAAATAAGTTTTAAAAAGTTAATTCTTGCGAATTAGGGTAAATATGATGCACTCATTTGACTAAACCTAAACTATGAATTCAAGATCCAAAATAACCATATTCAATTTAAGTGGACATGGAACAAGTTTATTGCTTGCGTTAACAATGTGAACACAGATAAGGAAATTATTGCCTGAAACTTATAAGCGCATAACATTTTGGTTAATCAAAAACGAAACTGTGAATATTAGGAGTTGTACTAGTAAAAACAATAAGAAAAAATCTAAAGGATAAAAGAATAAACTTTAGTGAATATTATTATATGTTTCGTTTAGTATTTTGAATTGTCATGTCATCAACTTTAACTGTGTTTGATAATTTGAAAAATGTAACACTAATTGTTATAGTATATTTCTTATAGTGTAACGTAATGAATATAATCATCAACAAATTTTACTGTTAAGCAGAAATTCCATTCAAGTTGGCGAATTCAAAATATTATTGTATTGCCGAATATTTTACTCTGTATATCTGCTTCAATTATCTGTTTATTATAAGTTTATTTTTTACAGATTGTCAGTCAATACTTTTTATTGACCAACAAACCAATTTAATATTAGTTTTCCAACTATTCCGAGGAATACAGTATTAATTATTAGAATTCAGCAGTAGGCCTAATTGGTCTTACATTTTGGTTAACAATTTTATTTTGCATATTTATAAAAAAAAGAATATCAACTTTTAAAATTGATTTATTTTACAAATGATCTTAAATAGCATTCATTCTATCTTATTTGTTAAGCGTTAAACATGTTCACTGCAAATTGTATGTTTTAAATACAGTATTTGTCGTTTTAGCTTTGTCGAATAACGTTTTGACAGACTATTGTATCTATACCATATAATCAATATCGAGCTCAATGAATACCAACTGCTTCATCTTACTGTGTAGATTTGTTTTAGGTATTTGTTTTCCAAACCTTAACCTAACCTAACTCATTTTACTATTATTAAGGGTTGTATGTTGTAAGATATTTTTACCTCGGTGAACTCTATGTTTCCTAATTGGATAAATATGTAATTATTCCCCCATTATCCATTGTACTAAGATGTATTTGGTGTACGTTCCAACAAATTCAATAGTTACATTGTTCCTAAAATATGCCTAATATTTTCTTATTCTTTCATTTATTTGCGAACTGTGTTTCTTCGCGGGAACCTTTTCCAGCTTACGATTATTCTATACATGTATTTTAACCGTTATTCTATGTTATACATTTTATATGTTTTACTAAAATAAATAAATGTTAATCCTTAGCTTTACGAAACGTTTCAGTATGCTTTTTAATATTTTCGTTCTTTCACAATAAATCAATCTAATATTGAACTCCCTATGTTATCTTTCATGTAGTTTCTAGGTAGGCCCCCTAATAGATTATTTTCCTTATTTTTTTTAACATATCCTTTTTAGCATTTCCTTTCTAACACCAATTTATGATGCCACTGGACTGGATTTATGATACAGTAATATCTTAATATCCGGTAGTTTAATATACTTTCCAACTCATTAATAGCTTTTCGTGTTATGTTTAGAAAATATCATGCTTATAACTTGCTATGTTTCCCTAAAATCCTTTTAAATCTGAGCTTATTAGATATATTATCGCTCACAACCTATCTGTTTTATGTAGATTCTCAATTTTAAAAATCCTTTCCTGTTCATTGAAAAAGTGTGTTTTAGGATAATTTGAGATTTCCAACGTATCAAACACTGCAGATCTTTTACCGTCTCTATATTATTTATCTACTTCAGAATTCTAGGAATTTTTCTTTCGATTTTCTAATATTAAAACCACTTTTCCTACACTATTATAATAGTTCGTGTAAGTATAATTTTTTATTACATGTTCTCCTCCAGCACCAAACAATGCCCGATCTTAGCTTATATTATCGTCTGATTATGTTTCTCTACTATCTGATATTGAAAATGTTCCTACCTTATTTAGGAAAGTCCTCCTGAACGTATCCTTGGTAAATTTAACACCAACTCCTTCCACCTCCAGAATCTCCGCAGTTTGTCGCAGAAGAACGGTCCTTAAACGCTCCCGGATCGCTTCCTCTTCCATACAGGACATCTTCATCGCCGTATTAGGGGTCGGTGGCATAGAGGAAGTGCCAGCCGGTGTTTCATTCACTTTTTTCGTTTTCTCGACATTTTTCGGCACCGGTTTAGGATCTTTATGGACAAACACGATTCCCTTCCGAAGGCTTTCATCTGGTTTGTCGCTTTTCGATTCTTCCTTCGCGTTATCCTGCGTGTCCTGCGGCTTTTCATTCTTAATCCCCTGGAAATGTCCTGGGGCGTCGTTTAAACTGTATTTCCTCGCTGGGGGTTGCGACGACCAGGAGGTACTGAAGGACAATGATTTCCTTCTTTCCTCAGTCGGGGGAGGATCCATGGGAAGCGGGGGCGGTTCCATCCCCGGTACTTCTGTCTTTTCCGCCATCACTTCACTTTCATCACTTTTGTTCTATCTGCAAACACGAATCGTTGGGTTCACTACCGTCTTTGACGAGGTGATATTTCAGAAAATTTCAAATAGTTTAAAAACTAAATTTACGTAAAAAAACTATCTTATTACGAATTTTCCAATAGTGAGGGTAGATTTTTTTCAAATTGCAAAAAATTTAGTTGCAGAATCTAATTTAAAATTAGTATTTAGACCGTACCCTGATGTACAAACCGGATTACACTAAATATTTTAATAACCCATTAGTGCAAAACCGTGAAAAATTACGAAAAATATATCACAACTTCCAAAACATTTTGGAAAGTTTACACTCAACCCGAATTTGAATTTAATATTATTTTGATAAAATTAAAATCACACACATTCCGACCGGAAACACATAAATACGCGTACTATGTGTACTACCCGGTCACCATCGGCACTGCGACTAGAAAGAAATCAGGAAGGTAGGAATTTCTGAAATATCACCTTATAGGGAAAGTTGCGTAAGTACACCTGACTCTACATAACTTGAGGGAGGTATCCAGGTTACATGTGTAGTCTGCGTCGCGGTCGAGAGCTGACTGCGAGCGACTCCGCACCGCCGCCTGGACCGTTACCTGCCCAAGGTCATGGGATGTCCAGCCCTACTGGTCTAGTGTCCTCCGGGGTGACTCACTGACCCACCGGGAAGTCGTCGTGGAAACTGCGGGAGTGAAATGATTTGGAAGTTGGGTGAGGTCAGTTTAAAATCACACATAGCCTTGCTTCGTGCGCTGAATCGGGAGGATGCAGAAACAAACTTAAATGTTGGATTAAACGTTGTTTGTATTGAACAATACCAATGTTAAACTTCAGAATATGACTTTCAGTAAAGGTCAATGTTGGCCCATTTATTGCACATTTGCAGGGTATTATTAAAATGTATCTTTGAAACATAAAAACACTCTAACGTGCCCTGTGTTATGTATAATTTTGTTTGAAGAATCATTGGCTTCAATATAATCTATAAAAGACTACAAAAATGTTCAACAATTATTATAATTTATAGGCCTATAAATATTTTTAATAGCCACTTTGCTCTAAATTTTATGAGGATTCCAAAAGTATAGTCATATAGGGATGTTAATTTGCAAACAAATAAGTTGTGGGGGAAAAATAAACATTTAGCGATAGCTAAGAATGAATAGCCCAACAGGATAATTCTGAATCTGAAGGATAATTTTCATCAATACCTACTTCTCTAGGATGATCCCCTAGCCCTTAATTATCAGTCAAATCTTCTTATAATTGCATCACGTAATATCACTCATGATTATTTGTATCACTAAAAACAACTATTCGATGGTTACCAAGCTGTTTACAAAATACGCACGTCATCTGTCAAAATGATCGCCGCAAATTAAAAGCGTCTAAAACAGACATCGGGAAAAAGCTTAGAATCTGCCGAAAACAATTAAACCAAACTTTGAATTTGAATTTGGTTTTATTTTATCGTCTACCACAAGAGTAAACAGAGTATCTGATCCAGTAATTCACTCATAACAAATTTAGTACTAAGTAACTAGACGCAGGTGGATAATTCCAAACTAACTACTGTACAGTAACCTAAAACGACGATTTCGTCTGCAATCCATTTAAGCTGAATTTATACATCAGTATGTTGAATCTTTTTGGTGAATCTTGAAATAATTTGATCACATTGGCAAATTATTTAAATCAATGTAAGCATTAAAGCCAAACCAATTATCTAGTTAGCAAAAGAGTCTAATTATTAATTTTTCCTACAGTTACCTAACAATGTACATGTTCTCTCACTGATTTGAGAAAGCAAAGTGGCCAATTCGCTCATCAGTGAGACAATGTTAACATTGTCTCACTCTAATTACTTTGTCTCACTCCAGATTTTCAACGTGAAGGCACGAAATAGTGAGCGCGTAACATGCAGGCAACGCCGTATGCGCGCGAAATACGTTGGCAGCACTGGCTGTAAATCAGCTGGTCAGCTGTTGTACTGTTGTATTTGTCACTTCACATTAAATGTTATATTAAAAGTTCACTTCTGTGTAAAAATAGGTTATGTTTCTTCACCAATTTATTTGTTTTATGGTAACTGTAGGAAAAGTATAATGTGCAACTCGAGTTCAAAGTACAATTGCCTCACTCGAGAAACCATTCCTCACTCGCCTACGGCTCGTGAGTAAGGATTTCTCTCGAGTGAGTCAATTGCTCACTTTTCTCACTAGTTGCACAAATAACTATTATTTCTGTTTGAATAACCACAATAAACTAAACATAGTCAACTATAGTAATAACTCTGTACTTTACTTATTACTACATGGATTTCCCGCAGACGCGGATGTTATTGCACCAAGGTCACGAATGTGCAGCAAAGTCAGCTGTTAAAAATGCTGATGTCATAGTGCAAACAGCTGTTTACATTTACCTGCATCAACAAAACACAAAACGACGTCAGTAAGGTGATATATCGGCTAAATAGTCCTTAATTTATTGATGAATCGTGATTTTAGTTTTATTTACGAAGTTTTTACAGTAAACGTTTTAGAACCCAAATTTAATTCAAATCACCTAATTCATAACTAATCACTAAGTGCGTTGTTTTAGACGAATATGTATGATAGATAAATGTTGAATAAAAGACATTATTGTATGGTCTGGGTTAGGCCGACTGAGAACAAAATAAAATAAAATAATAAAATAAGTTTAAACAGAAAAAAATAATTAAAAAAATATAAGGATCAAACAACAACTTTTGGTTTTACATAAAACCTCTCTGTGAACTCAGCTAAATGATAGTTATCATGACATAGCTATGCACTTTTTATTGGGTAAGACCTGTTGGAACTAATGAAGAACTACAAGACTACAAGCCGGAATCTTATGTGGTAAAATATAGAGATTAAAATGAAACTTCTTTATACTACTACACTACCGTTTTATTTTGTTATTTACACAACTAATAGCTGAAACAGTCTGCGCTAAAACTGCTTCAAAATTTGAACGTGCACCAAACGATGGAATCATTGAGAAACTTTAAGGGGTAGCAATTGTATTTCTCGAGATTCTGTCACACTAACTACAATAAAATTACTTGGTTTTGAAAATGATTGTTATTTGTATTTTATTCTCTTAGTTGTTATAATCTTCCGTAGCCTTAGCATTGTTTCATTCCAATGAGATTATCAATTGAAACAGTAAAAAATAAACAAAATTTACTCAATATTATCGTAATGTTTTAATTCTATGGAGTTCTGTAAAAAATGAATAATTTTTTCACCTGAGGAACCTCTCATTTAATCATACTAAATAACGATAACATTTTACAATAGTTATTTGTATAACTAGTGGGTGAAGTAGCACTTTGATACACACGAGAGAAATGTTTACGCACGAGCCGTAGACGAGTGTGGAAAGTTTCTCGAGTGCAGCAAAGACAGTTTACACTCGTGTTACACATTATATTTTTCCTACAATTACTATAAATCTTATAAATAATTAGTCTTTCAAACACTGTACAACACGTTTTTAGGTTAGGTTAAATCCAAACATCGAACGAAATGGGAAACGCTGCACCAGATCGTAGTCGTAATATCTTTAATGTTGCAAACTTATTTTCAAGCGCACACGGATTACGTGCATAATAAAAGCACGCTGTTTTGTGTCGTTTGGTTGGAATACTGGGGTACACCAAAGTAAGGCTTTCTATACTAGAATCTGTACAAGGAAGCCCACTTTGTCGGGTGACTGTGGGAAAACAATATCTATACACACCATATCAAACGTAAATCTATGCATAGAATCATTATTTTAACAAACCATTTTTAAACAAACGCCGCCTTATGATCTCAACGCACGTAATTCACCCTTCTACCACTCCTAGAGGAGGGGTGACAGGCGGTGGTGGTGGGAGAAGTGGAAGGGGTAACAAAGGTCGTCAGGGGACCAATCAGAAGCCGTCCTTCCGCCTAAGCCCTGAGGTACCGCGGCTCGTCGCCCTTGACTTACATTCGGACCAGGAATTTGATGACGTGTGGACATAAATCGTTCGAGATAGTTGAGATTTCGTGTTAACAGTTTCGTACACTAATTGACGGCTGACGCACTCGCCCGTCGCTTCTGCGCAAACCAAATTGCTCTGAGTCAGCGTAGAGTTTGCCTCCTGAAGTATTTGGAAGTGATTCGGTGGTGTGTTGGAAGTATTATCGTTTTCTTCGTTATGAGTGGTCTTGTGTGATCGTTGGTTACATACCACAACCCGATCCAACCACCACAGTTGGTATTATAGTTAGATGTTCCAATAATAACAATACAACTCGTGTATGTTATATATATATATTTTAGTGTTTCACTACATTTTTATCCGTCACATCTGCTATTTGTGCATATAGTAATTATTTTGAAACAAATAGGCTAGTGGCAGTACTAATAATAATGTGGGAATCCAAAACATATTTCCAAAATGAACAAAACTGTCGAAAGATTATTTTGAACATTGTATTGCATAAACGTAAACCTTTAAAAGCTATTGGAAAACTGTGGGATTTTGGATTAGTGCAACAAATAATTTGGCATACAAAACATGTACGTTAGTGTATTTCATATATGCCTCGAATGGTATAAGTATTGTTTGGGATGAGGAAAACAATGAATTGTACAGAAAATAGCAGATAATAGTAATATGTTTGTTACAGAGAAAACAAAACTTGTCATAAATCTCAATTGTAACTTAATGGTCCATAACCAAGTGGGTAGAGGAGCACTTATTGATCATAGCTTGGAATCTACACAAGAGCCTTTTTTCTTTTTTCAATTGGTTACTAACGCTGGGCTAGTTCATGTGACAATTTAAATGTAGCCGATTCGATCCTGCGAAAAGTCAATAGATTTTTCATGGTTCATGGAAAGAACCCCAGCTTTCCTTAGTCATTAGTCTTTTAAATTGTTCTGGCTAAAGAAAAGACTCAGCTTAGTAACAAGGCTACACAGATTTTCCACTGCATTCTTCCCCCATACTGCATTCATGTTCAGGTTTAAATACGTACCCAAAGTATGCGAACTAGTGTTTTTTATACCTTTCAATGTAAGGTGGTGAAAGTATTTTTTTTTTCTTTGAGCTTCCAAATAACGAAACGTCTTTTAGACGCGCTGTTACAAGAACTTCTCCAGTATTCGTGGAGGTGGCGAGGAACGGAGAAAATGAAAGTGACGCGTGAGTGTGGCGGCGAGCGACAGGTGCTTCGAAAGTGGTTCTTCAGTTGGTGGGTGGGGGAGGAACCCGTGGCTCAGACACCGACCAGACTGAGAGGAGAGGTGCTGAGTGAGAGTGGGACATCCTGGAAGCTGTGAGACTTCTTCGGGAAACATGTGGTTCCATGCAAAATATCCTTAATATGTTCTCGCTTCGTGTAATAGTATATTGCATTGCCAGGGTCTGGAGTTAATCTTTTTGATAAAGGCTGTAATATTATTAGCTCGGTGGCTCTAATTTAACGACCGAGACGAAGCCATGGTCGGGATATAAGCAAGGGTACTCGTGTGATGAAC